CCATATATGAGTCCATCAAGAAACAGCGTATGTGATGTAGGCGGTCCACAGTGCGCCCAGAGGGCCCGGGAGCCTCCTGCTCGCTGCAGCATCCCTGCTCGCCCACGTGGTTGGTAGCCAACCGGGAAGCCATAATTAGGCATTTCAGGTGAGTGGTCCAAGTACCACTTGTAGTACACAACTGCTAAGCAGCCTTCGGGCGTAGCCTCTTGCAGCTGGGGTATATGCCACAACAGAAATTTAAACAGTTGGATCACGGAAGTGTAAGTAAAAATTGCTTGTTGATTTAGCCTGCATGTGAGGTACTAGATAATTGGTAGTTGAGCCAATCAGTGAATGAATGAATATTTGATGGTCTCTGTGAGCGCTAGATGCCCTGCCGCTGTCCTGGCAACATTACTGGGAAGCTTAACACCTGTGACCCAGAAAGAGGCAAGACCAGTCATGCAGCCGGACTTGCCCTGTTTGTATTGTCCAGGAAGTATGCTCATCAGTGCTGTTCTGTGAATGCTCATCAATGCTGTTCTGTGATTGTAGCTTTTTTTTTTTTTTTTTTTTTTTTTTTGAGAAGTAGTATTCTTGGCCTCTTTTTGTGCCCTTTTTCAGATAAGTAATACAAGTAAATAAATGCACTTCAAAATGGGAAAATCCAGTTGTGTGTTCCAAAACTCCCTCTCATTTGGCTCTTTTAAAAACTTCTGCTTTCTTTCTTAGTATGTGTCAAAACACCTGATACACTCGTCTTTCATCTTTGTTTCCAGGCCAGGACTCTGTCACTATCTTCAAATGATTTTGCAGTAGGCTTGGACTATATTTTCCCGTGTTACACATCATAAACCATCTGATATGTCTTCCTGTTCCCTATCTTTGATATCAGCTCTCTTCCTTTCTAAGTGTTTTCTTGCCAGATTGTCCCAGCTGCACAGGTGCATTTGGAAAATCGTAATATGTACATTTTTCAAATTTAAATCTCTTGATTTTTTCCTCTGTAATTTTCAGCCTTTACTTTCAATTTAGGAAATGTGTTTTTATCCATAGACTGTGGAGATATTTTCCAAATTCTGTCCTGCTCTCTTTTTTTCTTTCTCTATACCAGTTGATTCTCTTAAGACTTAGTTTTGGACTGCCTATGTTTTAAAGTTTGGTATCCATTTCAGCAGGTAGAGTCTTCTGTCCCCAATGCAGAACTAACCACTTTAGTGTTTTTGTTCTTTCTGTTTTGTGATGTCACATTTATTATGCATTAAATATTATTGTGGTAGGCTGCCAGAGTAAGATAGTATTTTGAAATTGCTTTCTCAGTCTTTCTGTTAATCTGTTCTTCTGAGGATTTGCTCATTTGGAACTTTTATTTACTACCCTGCTTCTCTTCTGGCTCTATTTTTTTTTTCCCTTCTGCTTTTAATTTTTATTTCTGCACTTTCCAAAATTAAAAAAAGTTGATCCACATGTAAGTGCTTATGCAGCTGCGCTGTTACATTTATCATTGTATTCCCTGGAGCCTTTACTAAGATTTCTTAATTTTAAAATTAGAACATTTCAGAGATAAGGAAAAGTACAGAGAAGAAAATAAATTAGTCTCAGCACTCAAATCTAAAATTGTGCTGGTGGTGCAGTTGTGTAGTGCTGCATGACATGGTTTACTACAGACTATATAATTAGGAAATATTTTAGGATGTATATGTGAAGTGCTCAGGGAGATGCATGTGCTAAACGTGTATAGTATATTGTTACATGCTATTTCATAATAATTCCATGCCTTTAAATATTCCTGTGACTTCAGTGGGTTTTAAGCTATTCTAATGAGTCTCTATAGTCTATACAGTAAGTAATTGGTTAACAGGAAAGAATATGCTGTTGTTTCAAAAGTGATTGAATTTCAGAGCAACAGTATGCACAACTCATTTAAATCATTGTGGAGCTGCAATGTGTGTTTGTGGCTTTTAAGGCTGAATCAGCCTCTGATTGAATACACTGGTTGAATGAGTAAAATAAGAGGAGAAAAAGAGACTGTATTTCATGATTTTTAGGGAGCCTAAATGGTGTTGGCCAGTGGTGATAGAGACTTATAGGTAGCTCTAAATGTCTCAGAAGAAAAGACATACAAATTCTAGGGCAGGAGAAATCAGTTAGATGCCAAATAAAATTGGTGAGATTTGGCGGTCACAAAGTTGGCGCAGTCAGTTGTCTGGAGCGGTGGATTGCGACTTGAGAGACGAGGGTCCAGATAGTGTGGAGGAAGAGCTCTGTGCAGCAGGAGTCTGGCCAGTGGGGGCAAGGCTCAGGACAAGGGGACGCCATGCATATCGGGGTGTTCCTGGGAAGCGCAGGTGCACTGAGCTTGGCCTGGGCGTGGACGCTGGGCATGTGGTTCTTAGCCATCCACCGTGGGGAGCTGAGCAGCATGACCTTTCTTGTGGGAAGAGGCTCCGTTTGCAGCTTGCATCCTCAGCCTTTTTATTATTTGTTTTGTGGTACCAGGGATAGAACTCAGGACCTTATACTTGCCAGGCAGGTGTTTATGCTGCTGAACTCTATCCCTGGCCCTGTATCCTCAGTTTTGAGGAGAGTTTAGTTCACTATTTAAGGTGCCTTTACTAGACATTGTTAGGGAGGGTGAAGACAGGAATATTTCCAGGGAATTTTGAAAAATGGTGAGACTTTCTGAACCAGAAAAAATCCAGAACTTTTAGGGTGTTGTTTTTGGGGAATGTTGTTTCTTGATTCTTGCTGTGGAGACTTGGAAGAGAAAACTAGGATTTATTAGATATGTGGCAGCTAGCCCAGTATAGATGGAATGAGAAGTGCAGGGAGGCTGTAAAAAGGCACATGAGAGAGAGGGCTTTAGCCTGGGAAGAAGGCCTGCAGTGACGGGGACGAGGGCTTGGGCTCCGTCCTGTCCCAGGATCAGAGACGGAGATGAGGGCTTGGGCTCCGTCTTGGAAATGTGAGTTGGGAGCAAAAAGAAGGAAGTACCAGGGTGAGCTAGCTCGGCGGACTAAGCTTAGGCAAGCCCAGGGCCCGGGTTTGATCTTCAGTACCACATGCCGTGCAGGCCCCTTCCCCGGGCATGCTGAGCCAGGTACCAAGTTCGGGTGTGGTGGCTCACGCCTGTTATCCCAGCACTGGGAAAGCGGAAAACAGGAGGATCACTACGAGTCCAAGCTGTATAGTGAGACCCTGTACCAAATACAGAAAGAAAGAAAGAAAGAAAGAAAGAAGAAAGAAGTACCACGTAAACATCACATTTGTGTCATTGGATTTAAAAAATGTACATGACAAATGAATGCTCTTTTTCCTTTCTGAATCGTCTGGATTCTAGTTAATTGAATTGAAAAATGATTATAATGTAATTGCTTTTAATCGACTTTCATTTATAAAATTGATGGTGTTATTTTTAAAGGTGGTAAACACAGAATTGAAAACTTTGAAAAAGAGGTGACGGTAATGAGGCTATTTCCTTTTTCTGAGGAAAGTTCTTGGCCTTGAACTCATGGCGATTCTTCTGCTTCGGACTCCCATGTGCTGGAGTGCGGTTGTGCACCACCATGCCTGGCTTGGTAGTGAGGCTATCAGTGCCCTTCTACACTGCACATTTCCCGAGTCTGTCTCTGCGGAACGTTCTGGTGTGCGCTAGCTTGCAGACCCCGAGTTTGGGGGCCTTGATCTTCGTGTAAGGATTAGCGAACTTTTTTTTTTTTTTAGAAAACCATATTAACTTTTATTATTTTTTTTTTATTTATTTATTTATTTATTTATTTATTTATTTATTTTTCAACAATAGCGAACTTCTTAAAAGGATCCTGTGAGTTAAAAGTGGGAGCACTGCACGAAGCGTGTGCTCTCTGAAAAGAGGGGCCGAGCCTGTGTCCTCGCCACGCAGGCGGCGTCGCGCTTGACCTGCCGCGGCCGGAGTCAGTGTCTGCTGTGTTCCTCTGCTTTGATTTCACAGCATTTTCCTGTCGCCCCGAAAGTTATCCTCAGCTGTGGCAAAATGTACAATGAGTATTGAAAAACGTAAAAATCACTATGGTAAAGGCGCCTTGCCCGCGCCCTAAGCCCGCGCCCCCACTTCCAGCCGCGCGCGCGCGGCGGCTTTCGTGCAGTTCTAGGAGCTCCACGAGTGGCTTTAGTCTTGCTGTCAAGGCTGCCTCAAGGTCCCGCCTCAGCTCGGAGCCTTGACCTTTGGGGAGCACTTTGACTCTGGGCGAGAGCCCGAAGTCGTGGAGGGCCACGCTCGGGCCGAGGCGGAGGCGAGTCGCTGCGGAGACGTCCTGCGGCTGCGTCTGTGCGCCGGCGCCCAGCAGCGCTCACCGCGTTTCGGTCTCACCTTCGGAGCCGCTCGGAGCCGCTCGCTCGCAAGGGAGGCCTGCGAAGGCCCGGAGAGCAGAGCGCAGGCCCGGAGCCAAGCGCGTTCCGGGGGAGGGGCGTGGGGGAGGGGCGTGGGGGAGGGGCGTGGGGGAGGGGCGGTGGCCGCCGAGCGTCTCTTCCTGTTACAAGCATTTTTAATTTAAACATTCACCATATAATTTGATTGTCCCTTGTATGTTGGAAAATCTGGTGACGTTTTGTTAAGATAAGTGGAAATGTTCTGTGTAGCAATTTTAAAATTAATACTGAACGTACTTCTAACACTTGTGACCTTTATGAATTCAATTTGGGTAAACATCATTTCACTAGTAGCTTATTATTATTATTATTATTATTTTTTTTTTTTCTTTTTTAGCAAGAGGAGCGGTTCTCTCTCTGTAAATGGTGCTGGCCATAGGTTAGCTGGGAGGAGCGTGGCTTGTGTGAGGCTTGTGCCGGCTGAATAGCCCCCCACCCCCCTGCCGGGCTCCAGCCCTTTGCATCCTTCACTCCTGTCTTTGGGAGTTTCTTAGAAAGAGTTAAAATTTCAGATGTTAAAGTGCTGAGTGCCCAGAGTCTGTGTTAACACCTGGAAGATTATGTGGTTTATAAAGCTATACAACTTGTATGCTTTCCTTGATTTTTTTTAGGTAAGAAAGCTCCAGTTCTGTTTAACAAAGAAATGATCGAGTCCATGAAGGAAGGCTCGGTTGTCGTGGACTTAGCTGCTGAGGCTGGAGGGAACTTCGAAACCACGAAGCCAGGAGAGCTGTATGTCCACAAGGTAGAGCAGCACCCGCTGGGTGCCTGGGCTCAGGCTTCTCACCCACACAGTCCTCCGCCCTTTTTACTTAGTTTTGTTTTGAGACAGGGTCTTACCAAGTTGGCCAAACTGGGCATGAACCAGTCGTCCTCCTGCTTCCGTATCCCAGTGTGCTAGGGTTACAGTGTGTGCTGTTGTCCTGGCACAGGAAGGCGTCTTGTTCCCAGGAGTCAGCTCTGAGATACATCAATCAGTTTGGATGTGTATTTTAATTTTTTAGTTTTTTGAGTCTCGCTCTGTAGTTCAGGCTGGCCTTGAATTCACTAGGTAGCTTGGGCTGGCCTCAAACTTGGAGCAGTCCTCCCAAGTGCTGGGATTACAGGCATGTGCCACCATGCTGGCCTTAGTTCTGATGTCTGTAATGATTTGCAGAGTATTTATTTATTTATTTATTTGCAGTACTGGGGATTGAACTCAGGACCCTGTGCTTGCCAGGCAAACACTTATTCTACTGAGCTATCTCCTTGGCCCGAGTATTTGTTTATTTACTTAGTGGCCTTGGAGACCGAACACAGGGTCTCCTATGTACAGGTCAAGCCTCCTACCAGGAGCCATGTCCTAGCCTACTGAGAAGGGGGCTTAATTCTTTAAGTATTTGGAGAAATTGAGGCCTGATTCTTGAAAAAATTACTAATAGGCACATTTCAAGCTCTTTGATATAGTCTCTGTGTGTGTGGGTACATGCATGCTTCTGTAAAGATGAATGTGACATTGAAGGGACAGATGTGAGCAGAGTCATAACGCTTTTTGGCGATACGTGTTTGGATTTAGGGTGTCACTCACATCGGCTACACCGACCTTCCCAGCCGGATGGCTACTCAGGCCAGCACTCTGTATTCGAACAACATCACCAAGCTGCTGAAGGCCATCAGCCCCGACAAGGACAATTTTTATTTTGAAGTGAAGGACGACGTGGACTTTGGTACAATGGGTCATGTCATTAGAGGAGCTGTGGTGATGAAGGTAAGCAGTGAGGTCTGCCCGGGTTTCGAAGGGCAGCTGCTTTGAGGATTTCTGTTTATGGAAGAAGCCTACACTGGAATAGAGATGCATTCTGATAGAGTATTGATGCACTCAGTGTGTGCAAAAAAACTGCTCACAATGCAGGACGATTTAAAGGTAGTATTTCAAGCACGTGGTGCACATGACCCACTGGTGATATGGTTACGTTTAGAAGAGCAGTGTTCTTCAGTAGTAAGCTGTCTTCTTCTGTAAGTGACTTTGAAATGTTTGACTTAGAAAAAACAGAAGTTTTCTTATCTCTGCTAGGATGGTGAAGTGATTTTCCCAGCTCCCACACCGAAAAATATTCCTCAAGGTGCCCCAGTGAAACAGAAGACTGTGGCTGAGCTGGAGGCCGAAAAAGCAGCTACGGTCACCCCGCTCAGGAAGACAGCAGTGACGGCCTCTGCGTATACGGCAGGTGAGTGGCTTGTGGATCCAAAGCTGGTCCTGTTTGCATTTTGTGTGTAACGTAGAATCGTCAGAATTCGTGAATGCAGTGTTGCTGTGCTTTGGCTTCCGTCAGTAACTGCATCTTGTAGACCTTTTGTTTTTCGGTTCTGGGCATCAAACTCAGGACCTTGCACTTCCCAGGCAGGTGCTGCGCCACTGAGCTGTATCCCCAGCTCATCGCCCCCCTTTTAAAAACTGATGCATTCCTTGTCCTTCCAGTGTGGAGTTGGGGCCTGCACTCATGTGACTGCTCCCAGGGACCAGGCAGTGGGCTAGCTGTGGGTGGAAGCGTGCAGAGTGACACAGGCTGCTGACACGCCCTTCTGTAGAGAGCACCTTTCTTTAAAAAAAAAGTTTAAAGAGGAGAAACAAATAACAAGAACAGAGACAGAAACAAAGCAACATAAAACAATACAAATGCTACAGAATTTCAAAACAAGAATAGAAAATTAACAATTGTTGTATTACGTGTTGTTACCATCAAATTTGTTGCTCAGATTACCAGATACACACATGGAAGATTGATCAGTTAAACATTAACTGTTCCTTTCACTAAACTTTAATTTTTTTTCTTGTCGTTTTTACTTTTTAATTGTAAAATTTATTTTATTTTATTATTTTTTTGGCAGAACTGGGGATTGAACTTAGGCTCTTGTGCTTACCAGGCAAGCACTTACTCTACTGAACCATCTCCCCGGCTCCTTAAAACTTATTTTAAAGAATATAATAATAATAGATGAGACATTAGAAACAGTATTTAAAAGAACAACATGAAAGGTTCAATCGTGGTGGTTATATTGCACATTGCTGCCTTTGGTGTAGTTGTTCAGATTACAGATGCCAGCATGTACAGTTGGGCAGAGTAAAAATTCTAAACATTAGCTGCTACTTTTAAAAAACTGATAGAAATTAGTAGTACAGTCATCTCAGCTATCCTGTGTATATACTGACAGGATTTTCCCTCCCTTCCTTTTTTCTGTTTTTTTTCCTTTCCCTCATCTCCATTGTTTATTGCTTATGTTCAGTTTCCTTGGGCTTCGCAAGGCGTCAGTGTGGCTGTCTGTGCAGTTGGCTGTGGCCAAGAAGCCGGCTTTCCCGCAAGAGTAGACACTGTGGCGGAAGGCGCAGCCTTTGGAGTTTGACCTGCGTTCTGGTTGATTCATGGAACAGTGTTACATGTCTTACTTTGAAGCTCTTTCTTTGCAATATTGTGTATGTTCTAATTTTTAAGTTCATCTTCATGAAAACACTAAAGAATTATTGTAAAATAGTGAGAAATAGTGTTTTGGCTGTGCATAATTAGCAGCTGAACTAGGGATACTTGGTTTAAATTGGTTTCCATCTCAGACTAAATTAAAAATGTGTAGTTGTGCTGAGAGTCAGAATAAAAACAAAACAAAAGCAAACTATAAAGCATCGAGGATGAGCAGCAGGCACCTCTTGTGGCGTTGGCATTCTCCAGATTCCTGCATGAGCCCAGCTGCTGTAAAGCTGAACGTGCAGCTGTCCTTGGGTTGCATCTCAGCAGATGACTGTGGCAGCTTCTGGTGGCGAGAAGGTTGAGTGGATGGGGCAGTGTCCCTGTGGCACTGACTTGTTAAAGGAGAAAAGAGAAGCAACTAGGTGATTACATTGTACGGAGTGTATTCTGAGAGGATCATAAATTTCCATTTCTGTTTGAGATTCCTAAGGAATATGTGAGACATATATATAGATTTATTTGTGTTGATACCTAGGTTTTATTTACTGGGTTGAGATTGCTTGCTTTCTGACAATTATGCAGCAGTTCATAAGAAAGCCTTGGCAGCTGCGACATCATGTGTGTCTTCAGTGCCTGACGCAAGGGCTGTGCACTGTGGCATTTGCTGAACAGTGTGGTCCAAGTAATGGCTGGCGGTTACTGAACGCCAGGGGTTTTGTGAAGTACCTGCTTGCTGTTGCTTCTTTATTCCTTATAAGAATTCTCTGGGGGCTGGTGAGATGGCTCAGTGGTCTAAAGCACCTACTTAGAAAAAGCTTAACAAACACAGGGACCGCGGTTCAATCCCCCAGCACCACATGCCAGACAGCCC